GACGTGTGCCGGTGTAGTCGGCTGCTGCGGTGTAAGTGGTTCTCGTCCGTAGCACTGGAAGAAAGGAGATTTCCTTGTGGTCGCATGTGATGTGTTGTTGTAACCGAATTCCAGTGTCGGTAATTGTGAATCCCAGTGGCTGATGTCGTCTTTGCAAGCTGTGCGTAGTAACCGTTCAACCACCTGATTGAGTCGCTCAGTCTGTCCGTTAGTCTAGGGGTGGTACGCTGAAGACAACGCAAGCTTTGTCCCCAACAATCCCATGAGTTCTTTCCAAAACTTACCAGTGAATTTTGGGTCTCTGTCTGTGATGAGTGTAGCGGGGATGCCGTGGATGGTGATGATGCGGTCAAAGAAGAGGCGAGCAGTTGCTTCAGCTGTAGCCGTGGCGTTGGTCGGTATATAGTGCCCCATCTTGGGGAACTTATCGACCACCACGGGTATAGCATCATGCCCTCGTGAGGTGGAAGAAAGCCCAGTGATGAAGTCGATGCTGACGACTTGCCATGGCTGCTCCGGTAGGGGTAGAGGCTGAAATAACCCTGTTTTTTTCTGCTTGCTACTCTTCATCCTCTGGCACGTGCTGCATGAGGTGACGAACTGTTGCACGTCTGCTGCCATCCGAGGCTAGTAGTAATACTTCGCTATCCCTGCTAATGTCTTGTTGCTCCCGAAATGTTCCGCGTATGCCACGTCGTAGAACTCCTCCAGTAAGAGTTGTCGGAGTGGGGCATAGTTCGGTACCCAAATCTTTCCTGAACCCTTCCTTGCAACTAAGCCTTTCTCCCAATGTAACAGCTTCTGTGTCTCTGCCGTAGTGATCTCTGCGTCCACGGAGTACCCATGTTGGAATAAACTCTTAAGCAGAGGGTTCATCCCGTCGAGCTGGATGCCTGCTACATGACCGAAGCGGCTCAACGCGTTTGCTTTGTTGTGTAGCCTGAGCTTGTAGACGATGTCGTAGTGGAAGTGGGTTTCCAAGAAGTCCACCCACCACACCTGTCGTCGTGAGGGCGTAGGCTGTAACTTCAGGTATTTGAGGCTGCAGTGGTTAGTATAAACTGTAGTCTTGGCTCCCTCTAGGTAACACCTCCACGCCTTGAAAGTTGTGACTATCGCTAAGGCTTCTTTGTCATGGATTGGGTAGTTCAGTTCAGCTCCGTGTAGCTTCTTACTGAGGTAGGCGATGGGCTGCAAATCGCGTCCGTGATCCTGCATCAGTACTGCTTCGACAACCTGCTTCCACCACATAGTCTCTGTCTGGATCCGGTAGGATGAGTACTGGCGCTGTAGTCAGTGATGTCTGTAACTTCTCCATGGCTTGCTGTTGAGGAGTATCCCATTTATAGGGCGTATCCTTTTTCACTAAGTTTATTAGTCGCACTGATATCTTAGAGTTTTGTGGCACGAACCTGTTGTAGTAGTTTGCAAAGCCTAGGAACTGCTGCAACTCCTTCACGTTCTCCGGTACTTTCCACATTTTGACGGCTTCGATCTTCCGCGGGTCCACGTGTACGCCCTCGGCACTCACCATGTGCCTGAGAAACTGCACCTTCTTCAAGGTGAAGTTGCTCTCGACAGCTTCACGTAAAACTTGTTCTCCCGCAGGATCTCGAAGACTTTCCGCAGATGCTCCACGCGCTCCTTCATGTTCTAGGAGTAGATGAGAATGTCGTCCAGGTACACCACCACGCACTCGTCCAGCAGGGGCCGTAGGATGTGATTCATCTCCACCTAGAACGCCGCCGGTACGTTGCAGAGTCCGAACGGCATCACTAAGTACTTGTAGGAGCCGTATCTGGTACGGAACGCCATCGTGTGGACTGAGTTGTCTTCCATCTTGATCTGCCAGTAACCCGACCGTAGGTCCAGCTTCGAAAACACCGTTGCACCACGCAGTTGGTCTAGAAGATCGTCTAAGCACAGTATGGTGTATTTGTTCTTAATTGTCTGTTTGTTCAGTGCCCGGTATTCGATGCACATCCGTAAACTACCGTCAGGCTTTGGAGTGAAGATAACTGGTGCACCATAGGGAGAGGTGGATGGGCGGATCAGTTGTCTGTCCAATAGATACTCGATCTGCTTCTTCATGTCTGTCAGTTCGGTCGGACTAAGGCGGTATGGTGCACGTGAGACAAGTTTCGCACCTGGTTCCTCCACAATCTCATGCTCGTGGGTTCGCGCTGGAGGTACTCCTGCAGGCAGGTCGTCTGGCATGATATCTCTGTACTACACCAACACTTTTTGTACTGCTGCAGATAGCTCCGAGTTCGACTCCTCCTCCTCTGCTGCTGCCATCATCAGTGCTAAGTAACCCATGTTACTCTTGTTCACCGTCCGTTCGAACCGTGCTAGCGTCGATTCAGGAACAGTCAGAATCCCAACCATTAGACTATTGGGATAAAAGGGCTTGTTAAGTAGCGGGTCAGTGCGCCCATAACCCCCCAGGACAACGAGCCTGTAACCCTTCCCTATGATCAATCGGGGATCACCAGTGGACCTCTGACACCCCCCCGTACTGGGATGCCCGAAATGCACACACCGGGATTCGAACCCGAGACCTTCGCTCTGATACCATGTCAGAATCCCAACCACTAGACCATTGGGATAAAAGGGCTTGTTAAGTAGCGGGTAAGTGCGCCCATAACCCCCCAGGACAACGAGCCTGTAACCCTTCCGATCAATCGGGGATCACTAGTGGACCTCTGACAGGAACGTCCCCTGTATCTGTCCAGCTTCGCAGCTCCACTTGATTCCCGTTATTGTAGATGCACGCCTTCCGGTTGACCCAATCAATCTCGGGGTGGAACCGCTTCAAGAAATCTCGCCCCAAGATGAAATCTAATCCCTTGATGTTCGTGATCAGCAACTTCGGCTTCCACCTCAACGCACCTATGTGCAGCTGCAGTGATGCTTTGCCGTGGATGGGAAGTTTCGTACCGTCCACTGTCGTTGCCGTGAAATGGGTCTCCTCCAAGGACTCTCCAATTTTCTCCAACGTCCCGCGGTCGCACACCGAGTGGGACGCACCACTGTCCACCAGTGCCTGGAGGCGTCGTGCTTTGCATAACACCTTGAGGAGTAGTGGTTTCTGCAGCGCTGAGTAGCCAAAGATAGTCTCGTTCATTGGATCATAGGGTACATCAAAATAATAATTACCCCTTGTCAGAATAGTGAACGAATGAATGACTGAACTAGCAAGCAGGTGGGTACAAATAGGAAACCTAAAAGTGTTGTACCCTATATGAACTACCCCACTACAGCCTAGATAGACTATAGCATATAAGTTTGACACACCCCCATAGACAAAGTGGGGGAGAACAAGAGGTCACAAGACCAGTCAAGAAAGGCAAAGCAAGCTCAGGGTGGATCACAAAGTCACCACGCAGTCTGAGCACAAGCAAATGGCCACAAGGCCAGTTCACATGCAGAGTTATATAAAGGAGAACAAACAATACAGTGAACACGACCTAGCAAGTGTAAGCATGCAGGTATATGTATAGAGAGTACAGTACAAGCAGAGTCACGGAAGCCAGAACAGTAGGCAAGGCCTAGAACAGTACAGAAACGCTGATGATCACAAGGCTGAAGTGCCTTGGTGAAAACATCAGCAGTGTTGGCCTGAGAGGCCACGTAACCAAGACGAAGCTGGCCACGCTGCTGCAACTCTCGAGCAAGGAAGTAGCGTAGAGCAATGTGCTTCTTTCTGTGCTCCAGTCTGTGCTCCTGACACAAGGCCAGCATGGCCTTGTTGTCGACGTACAGAACTGGAGGAGAATGAGGCGCCTCTCCCAAGTCGGTCAGCAGGTAGGTGAGCCAGCGTAACTCCTGTGCAGCCATGGCCCCAGCGTAGATCTCAGCCTCACAACTGGAGCTGAGAACAGAAGAAGAGCGGGTAGACCGCCAAGAGACAGAACCGAAGCCAAGACTGAAGGTGTAACCCTGTGACGACCGCTGCGTAGTCAAGTCGTCAACCCAGGAAGCGTCTGCGTGACCAATGAGGACAATCGAGCCCGTCTCCAAGTACGAGCCCCATGCCCGACGTACTGCACAAGTAGCGCAACACCCTCTTCGCAGCATCCCAGTGCATCTTTGGGTGCCTACCGGGAGCCACGTAGCGTGCCAGAAGGCTGAGAGGGTATGCGAGGTCAGGTCATGTGCAAGTCATCAGGTACATGAGGCAGCCCACAAGCTCTGGATATGGTCCACTCGGCTCTACGGACTCGTTCGAAGGTGGAGCTGAGAGCGAGTGACCTGTAGGCAGAGGAGTGGACTGTGGCGAGAAGTACGTGAAGCCGAAGCGCTGAAGGACCTGCTGTACCATGTGTGATTGAGTCAAGGTAATGGTGCACTGTGCTCTGTCCCGGGTGATCCGCAAGCCAAGATAGCTTGTCAGCTCACCCAGGTCTGTGCACGTGTGTCTCTTCTGCAGCTCCGACTTCACGTGGGCGAGTGCCTCAGTGTCAGCAGTAGCAAAAACTAAGTCGTCTACGTACACGAGAACGTAGAACGGCGGCAGAGTGGTGTCGGTGCGAAGAAACAGCGACGGGTCAGCAGTGGAAGGAGCAAACCCAAGAGCAGCAAGAGTTGTCCTCAGTGTGTCGTGCCACTCACGGGGTGCCTGGCGGAGACCGTAGACTGGGCGCCGGAGGCTCCACTGGGTACCAGCAGGAAACGACCCAGTGAAGCCAGGTGGGCGGCGCAGCCAGATCTCCTTGTGCAGGCTGCCCTATAGGAAGGCTGTGCTGAAGTCAAGAGAGTGTAGCTCGTAGTCACGCTGAGCGGCGACGTGCAGCAGCACCCGAAGAGTGGTCATCTTCGGGGTAGGGGAGAAGGTCTGGAAGAAGTCAACTCCCTGTTGCTGACTGAAGCCTCATGCAACGTAACGCCTTGAAGACAGGCGGAGAACCCGGCGGCCGCTTCACCCTGAAAATCCACATGCCACTGACGATGTTCGCCCCAGGCGGGGGAACCTCGTCGAGGTAGGTGCCTGTGGACTTTCAGGAAGCCATCTCTGTGTCCATGGCTGTCTGCCACTGAGAGGAGTAGGGACCCTCTATCGCCTCTTCGTAAGAGCGCGGGGTCGGGATGTCTGGTGCATCCAGGTCTCCCTCAGGGGCAAGCAGCATGGACACGAGATGAGGTAAAGCAGCGGCAAAGCACTCAAACTCCTCCTGTCTATCCTCAAGGACGCCCGTGCCAAAAGCACACTCACCCCCGACGGACGGAGGACAGACAGACGCAGACTCAGACTCAGCAACAAGACTAGCGGCGTAGTCTAGACGACAGGCGGCAGCAAAGTCAACAAGCTCAACAACTAGAGCAGACGCAGCAGTGGGCTCAAACGAAGGGTCAGTGACAGCAGTGGCCAGAAAATGCGTGACAGTAGGAATAGCGGAACGAAGGGAGTCAGACTCCGGGTCCGGACCGTCAGGAAGAGAGGACGCATGAGGAGACGGCAGAGGGACACGCTGTGGAGCAGTGGAAGGACGCAGAGTCATAGAGTGAGTGCCGGGGACAGGAGGAGGACGTTGACGCGGAACACGACGACCAGTGCGAACAGCGTGAACAGGCGACTCAGGACGAGACTCAGGTGACGCAGGACGAGACTCAGGCGACGCAGGACGAGACTCAGGCTCACGACGCTCCGTAAGACCACTAGTCGGTCCAGAGTAAGGAGAAGGACTAGGCAGTGGAGAGGCTGGCTGTAACTGCGACTGTGACTGGACAGGCGGTGGAGTCAGTAAGGGAGGAGTAGGACCAGTAGAAGGTGGGAGACCAAGAACCTGCTGAAGGAGCGGAACGTAGTACGGCCGCGGCCGCGCACCGCCTCCAGAAACAGCAGAGACAGCACTAGTACCCTCAGCTCCAAGGTCTCCAGCTACAACTCCCGCAGCACCACCAGCTCCAGTACCTCCAGCAGCTCCAGCTCCAGCAGCACCTCCAGTAGCAACAGCTCCAGCACCTACAGCTCCAACTCCTGCAGCACCACCAGCCCCAGCAGCTCCAGTACCTCCAGTACGAGCACCTACTGGACCAGCTGCTCCAGCACCTCCCGCGGCTCCAACACCAGCAGGACCTCCAACAGCGCCAGTACCTCCAGCACCAGCACCTCCAGGACCAGCGGCTCCAGCAGCTCCAGCACCAGCAGCACCTCCAGCAACTCCAGCTCCAGAAGCACCTCCAGCAGCAGGCCCCGTAGCTCCAGCAGCACGGCTCCAGCGCCGAGCGTACCACTCATGTAGCCGCCACGGAGAGAGGGGCTCCCGCCGTGACGGGACACCCGGAGGACCTCCAGACTCAGCACGCTCAGGCTCAGCACCCCCAGGCTCAGCACCCCCAGTCTCAGCACCCCCAGGCTCAGCACCCCCGGGCTCCACACGCTCAGGTTCAGCACCCCTAGGCTCCACACCCTCAGACTCAGCAACCCCAGGCTCAGCACCCCCAGGCCCCGCACCCGCAGGCTCAGCACCAGAGTCGACAGCTACCTCGACAGGCTCGACAGGGTCTACCTGGGACACACCTGAGGGGGCAGGACCCGGAGGGGGGAGGGGGTCTACCGGAGGAGCACCTGGTGCTCGGAAGAGAGGCGGGGGGGGGGAGAGGGGGAGTGCGGTAGGGAAAGAGATGGTAGTAAGATACCGACTCGTCAAACGTGACGTCCTGAGAGGACAGAACACGACGTGAGGTGGGATGGTAAAACTGCCACCTAGGTGCTTCTATTCAAGCCATGGCTCCTAAGCCTAACTTACTCTAGCTTCTTGACACCTGTAACCTTCGATACGGTTTGATAGTTGAAGCATGTCGTACCCTAAACCCTGGTCCAAGTTGATCAGTAGTCGCGCCAGTCGATCTGCGTGCTCTAAATGTTTCGATGCTTGCCAGTAGAAGGTGTGACGCTGTTACACCATTTTGGAATGAAAAATGTATATTTCGATTTCCTCCAACACTCCCCTTTATTCCTAAAGGTGTGCCATGTGGGACCTTTTGATGACTTCTGACAAATCTGCGCTGTACAAAAATTTCTGACGTGGCATGCTTTTCGTCAAAAAGTTCGCTGCCATTTTGCGAGTCGGGCAGTAGATGAGATGGACCTTGCCTTTGTCGATTTCGTCCTTCACTAATGGAGGGCGATGCGCTTCGTGCAGTTGACGAAGCCGAGTTTGTTCACAAAATTGATTGCGCTCTGGTTGTCACACAGTAATTTGAAAGACCCGTTCATTGTAACCGTCGTTTCCTGAAAGAGCTTCATCAGGTGGTGCCCTTTGCGACGGAGCTTCATCACGTCGCTGCCCTATGGCACTAGGTGGAGTCCTATGTTCGCCATGTGCTCCCCTCCAATGATTTTCGGAGGAGGCAGACGGCGGAGTCATCCTCCTCGAACGCGTGCGATCGTTCGACATAAATTATGGCATTGATGGTTGTTCAAGCGATCGAACGCGTTAGAGACGTTGATTTTCCAGAGCGGGCGCTGCTTTATGGCGGATATGCAGATTATAATCCGCACAGAGGTATGTCGTTCAGCAGGTGCAAACCTTTGATCGTAATATATGAATTGTGTTTGCTCGAAGCCGCGTACAACCCAGCGCGTCTTATACTTATCGATTGAGCAATCCGCCAGGGGTTTAATGCAGAAAACTCACTTCCTACTGAGAATCTTTATCTCCTTCGCTGATGATCGTGGCACTAACTTCCACGTACCATGTTGTTTTAGTGCAGCTACTTCGGTGACCATGGATGCTCTCCACTGTCCAATATCGGACCCCTACAGGGCTTGGTGAATTGTTGTGGGTTTAGTGGGATGCTGGTTCCTGCAAACTATGACGGCGAGACCGAGGATACGTAACCCGGTTAAGCCGAAGGCTGTCCTATGTTTATTGTTGGTGACTTCCACCACATCGTCGTCATCGTCGTCTGGAAGTTCGCGAATGCAGTCGCGTGAGTCATCGAGGTTTGGATATTTCTCTTTGGGTGATTGCATTTTAGAACTTTCGTAGTTGCGTTGAGCTTGTCGTGCCTCACTTGGATCGGTGCTAGTTGGGATGATTGTTGGTGTGCGGAAGTCTTCTGTAACGGAGATGAAGGGTGCCTTGCTTCCAATGGGGATGAACGGCCTCTTGTCCTCTCATTTCCCCATGAAGGACTTGGGGGAGGCTAAGTTCTATTTGGGGGTGCGGATTAAGCGTGATGAGAGTGGCATCTTGATTCATCAGGAGCGGTACATTCTCAACATGCTTGAGTCATTTGGCCTTTCTGAGGCTAACCTCATACGCACCCCTCTCTTTACAAGGTTTGACATGCATGCACATGCCGAGGAACCCTTGCTGAGGGATGAGCTGATTGAGCTTTATCAAAGCATTGTGGGGTCCTTCATGTGTATGCAAGCACGACTACACAACCCTAAATTTCTTATGCAGTGTCACAGCTGTCCTAGGTGGTGCCTTGCCCCAAACCATTCCACCTGCAGGCTTTTTAGAGAGTGTTGAAGTTCCTAAAAGGCCGTGTAAAGTCAGGTATCTTCTTCACCGTACGCAGTGAGCCTCGGGTCGTGCTGGTGGGCTTTAGTGATGCTGATTATGCTGGAGACTCAGCTAATCGCAAGAGTCACACCGGCTATGCCTATTGCCTCCATGGTGCAGCCATCTCTTAGCAAAGCAAGAGGCAGCCGGTGGCTGCATTGTCCACCACTAATAGTGAGTACTTCAGTCTGTGTCAATGCATTTAGGAGGGTATGTGGTTGAAGCATTTGTTTGGGGAATCTGAGCATAGGTTTGCTGATGTTGTGCTTGTGTTTGTGGACAACCAGTCCGCCATTGCCCTTGCACAGAATGCTTGCTTGCATGGCCACACCAAGCACATGCAGGGAGGCATTTTGTCCGGGAGATGGTGGCTGGTGGTGAGGTGATCCTCCAGTGGTGTCCGACCAACCGCCAAGCAGCCGACATTCTTACCAAACCTCTTCCTTTTGAGTGGCATGGTGTGTGCATGTTCTTGCTGGGGATGCCCCCCATGTTGGCATGGTTCCTGAGCAGGATGTGGAAGGTCTGGTGCTTTTCTCTCTCGACAACATCATGCTGTAGATGGCGCCCCTCCCTGGGCAAGGGGGAGTGGAGTGAAGGAGGATTTTGCCCAGTGGTGTTCAGCCACCTCTAGCACAAGCAAGGGGGGGTGTTGAGTGTGTTGGTGGTTGTGGTAATTTCCCTAGCTGGCGAGCTAAGGGCTTGGGCAAAATGTGAATGTTAGACTTGTTGGGGGCTGGAATTTTGGCTAACTCGTTCCCAACAACCACCAACAAACCTTTGCTTTTCACTACAACACCTTCAATGTTGCTAGTTTGACATTTTAGATTGTGGGGGATCGCTGTAGGGCGAGGGTTGGGATGATAGGGTTTGTAAAGCTCGTCACTTTTCAGATCTGAGCTCTTCCCAAAGCTATTCCTGGATCTAGTCCATGGCTTCCTAGGAATTCCGCCGGTATACCCCATCGCACTTAAATTGTGATAGTGATCGGCCTAGATCTTGGTTGAAGGCGTGCTTTGCCAATCTGGAAAGTAGATATTAAGACCTTTCCAATGCGTACCTCCTCACAGTTTAAGAAAAGTTGAGCTGCACGCAATGTTCCGTCGAAGTCGGCGCACTAAATCTCATAACTGCTTTAGGGTCTAATAATTGGACCCCGCTTGCACATGATGCAGCACACCCTTAACTCAAATCTTTTCACAAACTCGACATGGAAGAAAAAAATCCCAGCAAAGGCAGTCTAATTATTATAATAACCAAAGGATCTTTGTTGGAGAGGATAAGTATGCTAATTAGAGTAGTAGAGACATCGGAAGTAGTTTTAGGGTGACCGTGATCATAGTAAACGTGAATGACAATATGTAGAAGTTAAAACTGCGTTGCATGATATTATAATTTTTAAACACACATTGTGTTTTTTAAAATTGTGTATTGTGAAAGCGAAGCTGCTTGTACTGCACAATTGGCATCGTCGAAGCGCGCTAAACGCCCTTCTCCAACTACAAAAACCGTGGGTTGGAGTTCATTTCCCTCCACCCACGTTTCTCGATTTTCAAACGGCCCACTCAACATTTCCGCTCACGTAGTTTATCCCTCCGTCCAAGCTGGCTAGAACTAAATCGCTTCCTAGAGGCGAGTCACCTTCGACTTTACTCAACGACATTTTTAACTTCAATCGCTCAACGATGGCACCGACGCCGACACTTAACAACGGGAACTCGTCCAACCCCGCCTCCGACAACGACCGTAACACCCGCGATTTGGCGGGCGAACGCCGTAACAAGCGACGGGCAGAAGATGGACAGCCCGCCCCGACTGCAGTGGACGTGCTGCTGGGCGGGCTCGAGGTCAACAATTCGGCCAACGCCCAGCAGCACCCTTCGGCGCCAGTGGCGCCAGTGGCACCTGCGGCGCAAGTGGCGACGGCCGCGGGCGTGGCACACGCCACTGGCGCCGAGCACACGCCAGCACCCGCGGCTGGACCGTCGCGTCAGCGCCAGAGGAGGCGGATTGCGGTCTCCTCGTCTGACGCGACGACCGCCCCTGCGTTGACGTAGGCGTTGACCCCAAACCAGGTCAACGCGCTGCTGTCCCTTCTACAGCAGCAGCCCGTCAGCGTTACAGCCGCGGAAACTGCACTACCCGCTGCATCTGCGTCGGCTAAAAAAGAAAATGCGAAAAAGGAAAAAGGCGCGCGAGGAGCAAGGACCAATCGGCACGACAACGACGCAGCAACAGCAGCACCCCCCGCTCCAGCGGTCGACAACGACACCGACGACTCTGAAGATGAAGCCGGTGAGGCTCCAGTCAACAATGTTAATTTTAATGGCACGGAACACCTTCCCCCCCTCCCTTCTTCTAACCTCACTTTTTCGGCGGCAACATTCGTCAACGACTCCGTGCGAGAGCAAGCAGAGCTGCTGGAGGACTTGCGCGCGTACCTGCTGCACGCGGAATACAAGGCGCAGCGCGGAGACCCAGCGGGCGGACTCGAACTCATCTCGCACGCTCTCAACCTCATCTCGGGGCGTTTCGAGGTGCTTCAAGTGGAGGACGCCTCCGACTTCCGCACGGCGAAGCGCTTCAAGTTGTACCAGCAGAAGAGCCTGCTGACTTCTCGACCCTTCAAGCAGGCGGTCGCGGACATGGCGGCAATGGACCGTGCGGCAAGCGGATATGCTCGTGTCAACCGCGGCGGAAACAACGCGCCGTTGCCGTTTTT